ATATCTGCGTACCTGCAGAGTTGCCCGCGGTAGTAAAAGTTAAAGCGGAACGAAACACATTTCGTCGCTTAGGCGTGTTTTTCGGTTAAACGTACGCGTGTCGGACGCCTAGCCCGGTCGTTGGTTAAGCGGAAAAGCGGGCCGGTAATTTCAACGCGAACGGTTTAGAAACAAAAGAGAGAGAGTCTTTACGTACCGTACACGGTACATCATAATATCACACGTATGTATATTATGTTTCTGTGAGATTTTTGACGGCCGTTTTGTTATTTTTTTTTCACGTTTCGTCTCGATTTATGTTCGTTTGTGAACACTGCGCGCTCGTTACACGTTATGATGTTCTATGATGACGTGATGTAGACGACACGTGGTGTGCAATGTGCATAAAATGTCGAAGACGTCTATTGCCACCGCTACCGAATGGCGGAACGTGCCTAATCCAAAGAGGCGAGATACATCGATAATTATTTACTCGAATACTCGATAATCGCAACGTATCGAGACAATAATTATTCGCTTGTTGGCCGTCATATTTTACAGATATACTGTGCTATATATTTTATCGAATACAACGCGATTACGTGTGAGGTGTGAGGTACCTGTGTTGAATAAAAAAAAAGTTATCCGACCAATCGTCCGACCCGAATTATTATTACGAATAACGGATTAAGTGATGTGTTATTATAGACTATTATAGAATATATAATGTATTTAATTACAAACTCAAGTGGCTATTCCATAAAATATTATGTATACCTACTTCTATTGTAGCTACTATACACGAAAAAAAAAATAGCTACGTGACTACGTGCATGTATTATTTATTGTCTGTAAATCATGATTTATATTGTAATTCTATGCATTTTTTGTTCGATGTTTCCTTGTTATTAATTTTTTTCCTTTAAAAAAAAAAAAAATGCAGGCTGCATTGATTTGTATCTATACGGCTAGTACGGCTAGTAAAAAATAAAGCACGCTACGTAAATTTTATTTTATAATAGGCACTTATAAATGAAATAAAAGTCGTTTTTAATATAATATATTTTCAACTAACTGTACAACGTCAATTAATTTTGGTATAACTGTTTCAAGTAGTCGACCAAATGTAGTTACAATAAACGTGTACATATAATTTTTTAATACGCTGCATTTAATTATTTATTAATTTTTTATAAAGTGGAATTGTAAGTTTTTCGAATTTAATTTGTACTCTTTGACCGTCATTCACAAATGCGCCCTACTTAATTTGTTAAGTTAAAAATACATCTCAACCGGTATTTTGACATGCTCATTTCACACGCGACTTGAGAAGGCGAACAAGCCAAACACCACACAATAATAATATACTTATACATGCATATTATAAAGTTTATAATCCCGCCGCATGTTAACAAAAAATTTCTGTCTATGATTTATAATATTATTAAATTAATAAAATAATAATTTATATAATAAAAAATAATTATATAATAATAATAATATAATTATAATATATAATATAATTATAATATATATTATTATAATTATATAATAATTTAATAATAATTTTTTATATTAATTAAATTATTATTAATAATACTTATCAATCGACAAACACTTTAATCTTTATTCTTTAACGCCTAATAAAATTTTAACGTGTCCGTCGATCAAATATGCATATTGATCCAACATTTACACGAATACATGATGTGATTATTTATATTTTTAAAAGTATCAATATTATTACAGTAATATTATATTAAACTTTTGCATTTAACTTGTGAATCGTGATTCATGGTGTATTTTTTCCTTTTGAAAATACCATTATTTGTTTCTTCGAATGTTAATACCTAATAAATGTTTAAGTAATATACTAAAATTCCTAAGCGATATAATATAATTATATTTGTAACAAATACTATGTATATATATATGTACATTGTACATGTATTTATTACTAAATCAATTTTATTAGTTTATTACTTAAATTAATTTTTACAGTCCCACAGTAGCGTACCCATTAGCCAGAGTAGTGTTCAAATACCCCTCGTCGGCTGTATAGTTATGCAAAAATGTATATATTTTATAATTCAGATTTTTACATAATGCGTTGTTTTCTACTATGCTTCTATTTCAAATTTAATATTAATATGAATAAATTTATGACAATAATGAAGAATGTTTAGTGTGTACTGTGTTAAGATCTCTGCCTGTTATATTTAAATATAAAACTAAAATACGTCTTTAAAAAAAAATTCTGGCTACGCGCGTAAGTTTTTAACATCTTGGGTACCTACTTAAATTAATATAAATTTATTAAACATATAAAAATTTTAATTTGAGTGAAATGAAATATTTCAGAAATGGATACATTTTGACGTATTATATTATTATATAGTTAATGAAGGTACACTTTCTGTTTTATTTTTTCGTATAAATAGAAAACTTTTTTAGTTGATAGTTATTGATTATGATCATCTTTTGAAGTTTTACCATACCATTTAAATTCATAAGTGGTTTTAAAAGAAAGTCAGAGAATTTCATTTGGCACTTAATAATGCATTTTAATCAATGTTTTAAATAAACTTATATCGGTATCTTGTGAATACACAACTAAAAAAAATAAAAGTATTTTATCGAGCACGATTCATGTTTTGTAGTATTGTATTGATTACAAGACGATAAAAAAATATAAAATTTAGTCTCGTGCATATGATCATATTTATACATATTACATATACAATATATCTATTAATAAAAAAATAATATTTAAAGAATTAATTATATGTATTGATGTTTAATTTTTGTTTTTGTTTCTATAAATTATAATTGCGTAAGTGTATAAGTTTCTTTGATTTTTGTAATATTGAAACTGAAAGAAGCTATTCTATATAATAGTATGTGTTATATAAAAAATAGCGTACCTTTCTTTGTCTATATAAAAAAAACCGCTTTAGCTAAAACAACGTATCATAAAAAATTCCAAGGAAACAAATCTATCATTTCTATGCGGGGTTGTCTGATTTAAGGTCTTGTCTAATATTTTAATTTTTAAGTTAAATCTTCTATGATTTAAACGTTTATAATATGGTGGTATATATAGATATTAATTAATAATTACCAATAATTATATTGTTTAGTACCCAGAATGTTTAAATAATATGTGTTTATAAATATAAAAAATGTATCGTGAATCGTGATACATTAATACTATTCTTCTTTACATATTATCGAATGTCTGCTAACTGCCGTCTCGGACTACATTTTATTTGCGTAACATATGGTATTTTATGATTTTAATTTTCATGGTAACTATGAACTTGGTCGTTTTGTTCTTTTTGTTTGACCGTGTCAGAGGTTGGATATTATTCAAGGACAATACCTTCGAATTGGTTACAGATTTTTGATGTACCATTGTTGTATGTATTAGTTGTTATTACAAGCAGTTACGATTTATAAGATCGTGTTGATTATAGTACAAGATATTCAATTTAAACCTGTTTCATACAACGTCCACCAGGAAACCAGTTTTTTCTTGTTTAATAGTTTAATCTTTAATCAATTATCTCTAAGAATTTATATTCTCATAGATTTGATGTCTAATTTAGCGAACGAAACTATAAAAATAGCAACAATTATTGTAGGCATAAACAATACCTATATAATCACGTAAAATCATAGATTTTTCATTTTTATACATTCAAACAAGAATCTATAAATTTTATAATTGAAAATACTTACTTAAAATCCGGGTGTTAAATTATGGTTATATAGGCTTTTATAAAGCTTTAGCCAACAGTTATTTTTGCAATAAACATAACCATTAACTCGTTAACAAATATTATGTTTACGACGTTCTCAGTATTGAGCATTTGTGCCAAGCTAATGTTAGAAAAATTATAATTGAGAAAATTCGTCGTAACTAGTGCCAAAATAATAGATAAATAATATAAATTTGAAAATATAATATCTTCTGTTATGTTATGAGTGTTATGACCAATTTATGAATAATATATATATTTATGTACTTACAATAATTGTTTAATTTGTATTAATTTGATATACATAAATATATTATAGGTTTTACAAATTTATTATGTTTATTTGAACTTTAAAGATGGTTTATGCTTTCTGGTAACTAATATGACGTAGTTGGTGATACATTGAGGATTAACAGGAAATCTCAGCACTTCATAATAAGGAAAAATAATAAAACCCATAGGGAAAACATAATACGTAGTGCATGTATTACCCGTTTTTGACAAAATAGAATTAATTATTTTTTGTTATTCTGAATGGAATGATTAAATTTTAGTAAATACTTATAAAATTGATACTTTTGGATTTGTGTAAATCATTTGTTTCTAGGTAGATGACACAATTTGAAAAATATTACTAAGTTGAAAATTCCTCTTTGATCTTAAAGTAATTAAAAAATATGAAAAATAGATTTTTTATAAACATTTGAAATTCATGTAGTACAAAAAAAAAAATTGTAATATAATCTAAGGTTCCTTATTATAATTTAAGAGAAAATTAAAAAAACACATGTTATTCTTAAATTCTGCAAATTAATTTTATTGTTGTTCAAAAAATACTATCAAAGAAACTTATAAAATATTCAAAACATTTAGTTACTTATATCAAGAACATTTTTGGACATATTTGTAACATTAACTTAATCAAAATAATATTCAACACAATAGAAGCAAATTCTACGTGTTTTAATTCTTGTTTTTATAATAGATTCATAAAAAAATATAACAAAAGATATATAACTTTAAAAAGACAATATAATTCCATATTATCCAAAATAGGTTATTTAATTCTAAAAGAATTGTTTCTTTAATTAATACATCATATTTTATTTAAATTTGAAATAGTTTTTTTTACAAAAGTCAAACAATATATTAGTTAATGTGGAATAACAAAAAAAATAAATATATTGATCTATGGAATTATACTTCTGGAATATACAAAAAAAGAAAAAAAAAAACAAATTGAAAAATAATGTAGTTATAGATTATATATTATTAATGAATTATGAAAAAAAATAACAAAAAAACTCCAAAGTAACTGAACTCCAGTATCATTACATATAAAATTATAAAATGACGATTTCAAGAAACATCTAGAAGAAATAAAAATATATTAGAACATTAAATTTAAAATATTTATGAATACATATTTTTTACTTACAATAAATGATTATTAAAAGTAATTAGGTATGTATTATTTATACATTTTTAATTAAGTGAACAATTTATTTTATTGCGTTTTATTCATTAGTTTAAAATTTAAATTAATAGATATCAAGATATGAGAAAGTATTGTGAGATTAGTTATATTATTAATGTTATTGTGACTGTAGAAATATGAAATCATTAAATAATAATATAGTATTAATTAAGTATTAAGTTTGAAACTTTGAGGGTCTAAAAACCCTTTATTTAAAAAAACCTCTTTGAAAAATTGAGTCTAGGTTAAATTTTTTGATCATCCTTCTGTGACCCTATATAATATTTATAAATTAATACAAGAAATTATAATTTATAAGACAACTGATAAGCGCTGTCTTCAGTGTTGACCCAATATCAAACAAAATTCCATGACAAACATTTAAAACAAACAAAATAAGTACCAAAAAATTCTTACATTAAAATATTTACACCCACGCAAAAAAAAAAAAAAATAAATAAATAAAATATATACTATTAATATGATTTTCAAGTACAACTATTTAGATATACAATATACTCTCACAATACCTTAGTCCATAAATAAGAAAATAGTATGAACTCATAAAAAGAATTATTACTTTCATCCAAATCATCATTTGTGTCCTATTTATTGTTTAATGCTCAATTCATTTGTTTTTTCATTGATATAGTTTTCAGACGATAGATTATATAATGTAAATTGGTTTTTTTCTTTTTTACAATCTTCAAAGGCCAGTATTTTGTCTTTGACTTCATTACTTAATGTAGGTATTACATTTGATTCCTAAATTGTTTCGACTTTTTATTCATACATGATATTATAATAAAAAAAAAGCTAATTAATTTTGCTTACAAGAGTAACAGGAAATTCATTATCATTAAAAGTGTTATTTGTCCAGTTACAAACATTTTCATTTATCCCAAATTTTTCAATTCTATGATCATAATTTACAGTATTGGTCAAATACAAATTTATATCGTTCAAAGTATTAGTTATATATGATGGAGGTGAATAATATGTAGTTCCTGAACTATCCATATAACCTATATTATTTATTTTACTTTCAGACGAAGTTAAATCTGACTTATTTTGTTCATTTGTCTGTGAGTTTACCTAAAATAATTATATAAATTATTAGTAATTTATTTATAAACAATGCTAAGAATTAATACTTTAAGGAAAAGATCAAACAAATTCTTTATTTTATCAACAAGATGTTGAATAGTTTCCTCTTGTTGGCCAATAATAGCTTTCATATAAACCTCTTTGGACGAATTTAGTGATTTATTAATGGACAATGTGCAATCATCTGCCAGAGGAGAGATTTGGTTTTTTTCTGGAAATTCTCTAACAACTGAAAACTAAACCATATAAATTAGATGTATTTATATTTAGTTTTATAATGAAAAATAATTGAAATTTACTTCTTGATCATGGGCCCAAAATGTTATCCTGCCGTCATTAACTAAGCCATCAACCAAATCATCAATAAATTTTTGAATGTTACGTTTTTGTTGTGAAATGGCTGTGCTTAATTTGAACTGTTTATTAACTACTTCCAATGTTTGAACTAAATCTTTTTCAAATGTCAATAAACGTTGCTCCATTACTTCATTATTTGTTGTTAAATCTTGAATCTAATTTAATAAATATGATTAAATTGTTTTTTATGAAATAATTAAAATTTTATATCTATACTTTTGCAAGGTATGCACTTTCAAGTGCTGAAAAGTTATTTGGTGCATTACATTTAATACATTTATTTGTGGACCATTGTTTTGGTTTTAATTTTTCACTTTTTGCAACACTATTTTGTGACTGAGGTCGATTTTTGTAAAATGCACGTGGTGTTGGCGATTGTCTACGTAATGGTTTGTTGCGGCTAGAGGTTGACTAATGAAATTATACAAAACAAATAAATACAATTTTAGTAATATTTTTAATATTTATGGGTGGTTAGATATATATGCAATATTATTGCATACATTATTATTATGTTATGTTATGTTATAGGTACATAATGTGTTAATGTAATAAATTTCTTATAATAAATAGTTTCATTACAAGTTCATAAAAAATAACTAAAAATTCCCTCATTTAAAGAATTATGCCTTCTGTAGTCTCATAATTATTATGTGTTTGAAATAAAATATTTATCATGATTTTTTTTATTATTCAAATTTTAGTAATAATAAAATGTTGTTGATATAAAAAAAATTAATTATTTTATACTTTTAATTGATATGACTATTTTTATTTATAAATTTCAGATCAAATATTGAAACGTGAAAGAAACTAATAAAATGGACTTTTTAAACAATCTTGAAGGAATAATAACTAAGAATGGAGACATGGTAACATTTATAGCTGAAGATTTGGAAAGCAAACTTAAACAGACTAGCCCAACAATGCCCAATAGACCTTTAGGAAGGTTTGTTTTAGATGCCAATTTACTAAACGACCTAGAGTTTGAAGCTAGAAATATTGCTACATCTGTAGACACATTATCCGAATCTCTTTCAGAAGTTCTTCATAGCATGTCTGCATTAACTGTTGACTGTTTGGAAATATACAGAGATGTGGTTTGTAAAACATGCGATTCAATTGATGCCAATATTAAATCTATGTACCAATTAATGGCTAAATGCGAAGAAATCTCAAGAGAAATGGAACCTATTTATAAATTGGCTCAACAAGTTAAAGATATAAAACATGTTTTAGATTTATTTGAGAATGCAGTAAATTGATATTATTTATAAAATTGTTTATTACCCATTTATTAAAATTAATAAATAATGTTATATTAACACTTGGGTTATAAAAAATGTGTGTGTAAATATAAATACTTACAGATAATCGACTTTGCTTAAAATTATCCTTAGTTTCATTTTGTATAGAGGAAGAAATACAATTGCAAGTTCCAGATTGGTGAAGAAATGTGAAGTATTCACTTCTTCCTAATATCTATTAATACTTAATATTAATTAAATACAAATAAAATACATTAATATTGTTATAATATTTTACCTCTAAATATTGGCTAATATACATTAGTTGATAATGTTTCTCACACTTGACAACATCTTGGAAACACTTTTTCTCCATGATAACTGATTTAATTGCTAAATTTGCTACATCACAATCACTATCAATAGTTTTATAAGCAACTTGTTCATCTACTCCAGACCACCCTTTAGGTATTAATGCTATCCAATCTTTAGGGGATACATTAATAAGAGCCTAAAATAAAATAATAGTTATGAATTTATAACTTCCATTTAACTTTTAACAAAAATTACTTCTTGTTCCACATTATAGTCAACAACTAAATCATTTTCTATGAAGTAACTTTGATGTACAAAAATCTTGACTATTTGTTCCATATTGTCTGTAATAACTAAAAAACATAAACATACCCAGTAATCAGTGGAATAAATAATAGAGGAGGCTAGCCCCTTATAAAATATGAATAAGTTATGAAGTATATTTTTTAATAAAAGCAATTTTTACAATTCAAACTTATTTAGATATAAATTTTGATATCTTTTAATTATTATAACTAGGAATCTATAATGATTAATTCATTATAATTCTAGCAAGCATAGTACCTATAGCATTTATCACATTAATTTAGTTATAGTTACTATATTTCCATAGATATCTAATACGTTTAATTATATATTATTTTAATTTATATTTTTTATTGTATATAACATTTTATAGTTTATCGTATTTTTTGTTAAATTGTATACTGTTTTACTAAGTATCATATATATGTATATTTATTATAATATTATTTTATTTTATACACATTAGTTATTATTAATATGATCAAATTGTGATACAATCATGTTTAGTAACTTTTAATTTCTTGTATATGCTTTTTGATAAATAAAGTCTTAAATCATAATATTTCGTAATAAAATAAATAAACTTAATTTATTTAAATTTGGTAGTCATGGTAACTTAATAAAGACAACTGGTGGTAGTCAAGTAGTACAAAATTATGATATTCAAAAAGTATGTATATAGCGAAACCAATTAAAATACATTTTTGAAAACATAATTATTAGATAAATAATAACTATCCTTATACCACATACATACATTACTAAGAAAATATAATAGGTAGTTACAAGGTACCACTTAATTATTTAAAAACATCCTGAGAATTTTTAAAACTATTACTGTATTACAGTAGGTAGGTATTAGCATTGATTTTATAATATTATAAAATCAATGGTATGTATTAGGTACATAATATTGATATAAATACTGTCATCATGAGATAGAGATAAAATAGGTACATATATCTATATTTAAGAACCAAAACACGAATTTATTTAATTTTCACGCACTCAGCATGCTAACTAATTAGTGATGGGCAAACGTTGATCGTTTATGCTATAATTACTCAATTCTAATAATGTTGTGACTCAATAAGGTAGGTAACTAATTCAAGTTTTATTACTACAGCAATCTGTTAAAGCAGTTCAAGTCTAGAACCTTCCTAATAATTAATAATCAATAAGATATTACGATATACTATGCTTCTATGATAATAAATAATAATATAAGTTAAAACATCTATTCGTTAGTATATATTTTTACTTAAACTTACAATCCTTGCTAAATAAAATAAACTGTATTGTACTTACTCATAAAATGCGTATGAAGAGAAAACGAAAGACAATAGAAAAATATGTAATACTTAATAGCAAAATAAACTAAACAAACAAATTATTGTTGGTAAAACAAATTTTGACACCGTTGACAACACACTTAGTTACAGTACTAACAAGGAATAACGATTTGATATTATATTGTGTATAGCCAATAGCCAATAGCATTTATTATAAATATTAAATACTATAATAGTACTAAAATGTTGTCAATAATCAGTAACTGTAAGGGGACGTAAATAAACGTAATTCGCGTAATAACTAATTGCATTTTCTGGCTTTTCTGCAATTCTATTTTCTGTGAAAATTTATCGTATGGTACGTACTATGAGTACTACGTTCTATAACGTATATTACTATAATAATATTTATATTTAGCTAAAACGGTACAATATAATGGCCTTTGTTACAGAGTCACTGAAGAATTCACCGTTGAATAGGTTACTCAAAGACGTTGTACAAATATTATGAACTATATAGTCAATAATCTCTTTTATTCTTATTCCCGCATTTTTGTAATTTTTAAATATCATCAAAAAGGCGGGATCTTTTCTAACTGTTAAATGCCTAGGCATGCGAAAACAAACAGCATTGGGCATTAATTAGTAAAAAATTAAATTAAGTACTCTAGTTGGAAATTTAATTTCTTTAATTTAACTAGTTTAATTGATTTTTAAAAAAACTTGGCTTTTATTTCAGTTGATTTAAAATTAAAAATAATAAATCAAGCATTAAAATGTATAAAAAATTTTAAATTTTTGACTGTAATGGTTTTATATATTAATTACTGTAAACATAATATTATTGTTTACGCAAGTCACTTTAGTTTGTTTATTATAATATTTCAATGGATATAACGAATGCGACAGCCATTATCTACATATAAGATAAACTATAATAGTATAATAATGTGTAAAACATAGGTAAATCGTAATAAAATATTCCTAAATTGTAATTAAAATAAAAATTATTAAAATCTAGCCATACAAATATGTGTTAGTTACTTAGTTACAATGTCACGTACTTAAAGGTTTTTTTTTATAGATAAGCAGTCAACATTTTACCATTCCCAAAAAATGTCCAATATTTGGAGGTGTTAGTAAATGGAGATTTCACTGTATTTATTATATTAATATGATGTATTTGTACTTAATGCATATACATTAATAAATTAATTCTAAAATATATAGTTTAGATAATAATATAAAATGTATAATTATGGTATTTTTAAAACAGCGGTTTCCAACTTTTTTTATTCTACGACTATTCAGTAAATGTTCAAAAGTCTCACACACCCTTCCCCTTTAAAACAAAGTTAAGAAGACCTATTTTTTTTTATTATTGTGATACTAAATAACTATACATATATTATACAAATACAATTAATGACTTAATCATATTTTTCATCAATTTAAAAATAGAATCAACTCCATAATAAATTACTTATTATAAAATGGCTTGATCATTTGTACACAATTTTTGTTATTTCATCATCACTATATTCCTCCCGTGCAATAATCAAATTTTCCTCTGTGGAGGAGTCCTCCCACCGATTGGGAATTACTGTGCTATGTAAGGATAAACGCCAGGCGGGTATCTATAATAACCTACATATGATGGCTGTGGTACAAAATTGTAATGATTATAATAAACATTTAAAATAATGCAATATCTGACATAATATATATACACTACCCACATATGCTGATTATTAATACCTAAACTATTATGTGCTGCATAATGCATACGATGTAAACGTGAGTATAATTAAATAATCTATTGCGTACCTACATGCGTGATGCATCTACACCCGAAGTACCTACATAAATACAGCCACTTAGGTGATACACGCTCCAGAAATAATAAAATCGTCAAACCTGCCCGTCGACGATTTTGATTTTTTAATATTTCACATTTCGCGGTATAAAAATTACATAGTAAAACAATAATATGAACCGCGGATTCGTATCTCCCCGGTCGGCGGTCGTTTGTACACTCGTGCTGATCGCCGCCACCGCCGTGCATTACACGGGTGCAGAGTGTTGGGACACTGGCTGTCAACTGGACTCGTGGCTGGTCAAGGGCTGCGAGCAGTACGACGGCATGACGGAGATAAAGCGCAAGCCGTGCGGCCGCGGTAAGGCCGCTGCAGGACACGTGTACTCCTGCTGTTACCAATGGAATTCGATCGATTCCTCTCAGCGATTGTGCCGGGCCACGGAATGCGTGTTGGATTCAGCAGGATCGCGGGACCGCCGAGATGATGCGATTAATGGGGACCGCGGCGGTTGCAGCTCGCCGCAGTACCGGGGCACGATCGAGGTGGCACGGTCGCCGTGCGACGGGGGCCACGTGTACTTTTGCTGCAACAGCACGAACGATCCATCGGACGCGGTGCAATTGAAAAAAATCGGAGACCTCACCTACTACAGTTTGGGGTTGACGGCGTGCGGCCAGACGTACACCGACGGCGACATGGTTGCGGCGATAGCGTTCGGTCATTTCACCACTCCGAATCCCAATTTGGATCCCGTGTGCGGCAAGCGAGTGAAAATAATCGACCCTACCACGTTGAAATCAATCATAGTGACCGTGAGAGACAAGTGCGAAGCCTGCAAGATGAATGACATCGATGTGTCTCCGTCTGCTTTCGAAAAACTTAAACAGAAAATTGTCGGTAGAATTAAAGTCGTCTGGGATTTTATTTGATATTATTAATTTTATCGTGTACAACGGACATACGCTGTACTCTTGTGGACTATACCTCACAGCTTATATTTAAGTAGTCGGTTATAGGTTCTATCTCATACCTACCGATTTCCGTTCAATATATCTATGCAATTATTAAATAACATAATTTTAATAATTATTATATTCTACCGTGGCATGGGTTCTGTAATCCATTTCGCTTATAAAAATTAAAACATGTTAAATTGCTCAACATTGCATTAAATCATGTGCTATTGATTATTGGATTTCATACTATATCATTTAAAATTTAAAATTTAGGTAATGCTGCTTGTATTTTGTAATAACTTCGACAATATTATCAAATATTTTATTGTCAACTATAATAGCACCTATTCTTTGGTTTTTATAAAGTCAATTCTACATATCGATGTAATATAAAGTGTATATTTAATTATTGCATTTTTACATTAGATATTTATACTGGCAATGTAATGACTGAATACTAACTACCTGTAAAGCATTTACAAAGACACGAAGAAAAAGAGAAAACTAGTACTATCCGCCTATATACAGCAGTCTGCAAGTGCATATGAGCTGCGGCTTATGTATTTACCTATAGGTATGGCAATACAGACGTATGGTATTCGTCAACTATGGAGACTAAAGTAAATAATTTTAATAATGTAATATGCATGAACAGTGAGTAGGTACGTTAATCGAAATATTTTCGGGCTACCGACACCTCAATATAGGTTGTTAACAAATTGAATTAAGTTTTTATTCAGTCTTAATAGACCAATGCGATTACACTGATTACAGTAGTGGTGTTTATACTTGTTATGATATAATATGAAAGCTATGATTGCCAGTGAATGATTTTTATAATTTATATAAGACATATAAAGTAATCTACAATTATTGGACTAACTCATAGGCTGTGATTAGAGGGTGCTTGTTGAACATTTTTCAAAGTATTAAATAGGTAGGTATCTATTTTACAAAAATGCAAAGAAAAGACTTAAGTCCCTCCCCTCCTAAAATTCAATCAAATATTCGCCTATGGAGTATATTGGTATAATTGGTGGTAAATGTAAATTTTAAACTGGTATGTAACGAATCAGAGAAAATATAGTTTTGGCAACACTGTGTATTTATAATAGTCAATACTGAATACTTACACTGAATAATTTATAGTTAAAACAATTTTATTAAATAATAAATTGTATTGTTTTGAGTTGTGCAAAATCAATTACTCGCCTATTTTTTTTTTTTAACAATTTTCAATGTCACAGTCATGAGGAGTTAAGGACCTGTAAGACCAATAGGTATATATAAAATTTATTGTTCGTTCATTGTCGAGTGGTTTGGGTTCAAATTACATTAATCAATTTAGTACACGGTCACGATTCGTATTAATTTTATAAAAGTACTTATGCATTAAAAACAAAAAATGAATTTATAATTTATGCCATACTTCCATAAATAGTTGTAATGGTAGTAGGTAAGTTTTTTATAATTTTTATTTTTTTCACATTGAAATACTAATACTTACATATAAATATATAATAATATATAATAAGTATACATTATAATATAGAGTATGTAGATACTAGATACTTTAATAACCTAATCTAACGTGTTGTAGTCATTTTACATATGTATTCCCTTTTTATGTTGTAAATTGTAATATTCAAATAAATAATAACTGTAAATGAAATCGAAATAAAAATATTTATTTTTTTGTTAGAATTATTGGTTAAAAATATCATATCTAAATCTAATAATAACTTATAGTCTATTTAATGATTTATTCAAATATGTGAATAAATAAATTAATAAATTCATAGGTTGTGATTAATAAAACTAAGAAAATAATTAAAATTAACTTTTTAATAATGATGTAAACATGTAATGTTTTGTATGATGTTGTCATGTTGTATAGTGTGTAGACGTATAGTAATCTCAATTAATATTATGTACGTTACACTAATACATAATAATATGATTAAAATAATCATTGAATGACGAATGTATAATAATTAATAATACTATCTAATAGGTTATGTATAAATATGGCTATGTACCAATATCAATACATGTTATATACACCATACACGTATATCTTCTATTATATAGGCTGGCGTTTTTCGATGCACAATTGTCACAAATCGTCAAATTATTATTATTGTATCAACTACCAATAAATAAAAGTTGATCGATGTATAAAATACGTTAAGCAAATTAGACGAGTAGGTTTAGGTAACTAGTTAGGTACTATAAATAAATAAATCCAATGGACACAACTTCATACATAGTTTAATTTTATTACATCATATATGTATTTATTTTATATAAAACGCTGACGGTAGTTACAGTTATAACTTATAAGTAAGTGTAAGGATAAAATTATTTTCGTTATAACTGAGCTTATGATTGTTGTGAATAATAGCCACATTTTTATACCTCGTCCCCCATATTAAAATAACCGAACATAACGCTTTTAAATCCTGTGCATTTATATATTTAATATTGGTATATTTTATCCATATAGCTACACGAATACAAAATGAATAGGCCGATAATTTAAGAGCAAAATATGACGTTTTAATTAATATTATTAATTTAAAAATTTAAAGTAGTAAAATAAAAAAACAATTTTTAATGAGTAGCTGGGATAATCCGTAAGGTACCTATAATTTCTTACTTATAATTATAAGACTCAGACACTCAGTATCCGATTAAACATTTGTGGGGCCTCTATAGACAGTTAAAATTTTGGTGCCCTATAAAAAAGTGTTGCTTACATCTGTCTTTTATTTTACTATCTAATAATTAAAATAAGAACTTTTAATAGTAACCAACTAATTTTTATAAATAAAACAATGTTTATTAAATTATATTACTAAAATTCTTAGTAATTTACATCAGGAAGTATCAATTAATATTTTTGTTCTTGTAAGTTATTCATACCTCAATTAAAATGTATTTTTATATTTATAAAGTGTATTTGAGTGCTCCAAAGTAGTAACTTACATGATAAAATCTAAAACCTTGATTTAGACTTAACTGTTCTAGCCAACTTAGAAAATATTAGAGACCAGAGTAATTATATACCTATTATAAATAGGCTATAATAAATAATAAATTAAATGTTGTACTTATAGTTACTTTGTAAATGAGTTATATATTTAAATCATCACAATTTCATTATTGACATTTCGTTAACATCTAAGATATGATTTATTTATTTAATAAAAATTACTAATGACTATAATGAGTAACGAATCCTGATTAATTCATCTATAAACTTTTATTTTTCTTATAATATTTTATAAGTCGAACATATCACAATAAATCTGTTACAATTTGATCATAATATTATAGACTTACCGCAATGATGACAGCTGTTTGAGCAAAAGATAATATAAACTTAAAATCCATCTTGAGAGTTGAGTTTGTGGTATTGTGATAGATATTGTCAGGTTAGGTTAGGTTTTTACCTATTTAGGTAGATGCACGTAAAGATTTTTTTTTAAATAATATATGTTTGTGTTTACGAAAACTTTGGTATAAAATTAAAATATATAATTTGTTTTTACTTCATACCTAAAACCTGTTACACATAAATCTTATAATACAAATATAAGAATAATATTGAAGAAACTCTGCTATAAAAAATAAAGTACCTACATTAGTTTCAGTACTGAATATATTTCACTTTTTTTGAACTGATGTAATTGTTGGCAAATTCAATACTTAGAGACGACATTTGTCAACTTTAGCCATTAGATATGCCCAAGGCCGTATTTAGTATTTCAGCACCCTATATTAAATTACGAAATTCATCTCTTCTTTCAGCTCCCACCTTTCGATCATACATATACATAGTCACACAGACACTCAGACACTCAGTATTAAACTAACAACAATAATATGAATATATATAGAAATATAAAAACCCTACTTACATTTTAAATAAATCATAATTATTACCATTCATGCATTCATACTCTTAGTACTAGTGTCCTGATATAATTATAGAAGTACAATAATTATTCTTTTTGTAATGAATCGTGAAAATAGTTTCTTACATAAAAATGTATCAATTTATAATTATTTTTTTTTTTTTACAATTAATAAATAAATAACTTACTTACTGTTTAATAAAATAAAAACATATCAATGTAAAATCAAATTATTCATCATTCCGTTTATAATATGAAATAAAATAAATTACAAAATACCTTTTTTTTTTTTTTTAAATTGACCCACTTATGTTTATCGTTATGATCGAAATATACTTAAGAAATGACAATGTCGCAATACTGTCATTTGATCATTCGCCTTCGCTTTACGGACTACGATGCACATTTTACAGTTTACAATACTATTGTATTTTTATCAGTGCATTTGTCTTATTATAGTTGAATTGCATGTTAAGACGGTACAGAAAATGTAATACAAGATTTTTCATAAGTTTTTATTACTGAAAATTTAAAAAATAAGTTAAGCATACAATCATATATAATTTTTATAAGCGATTGAAGTTCAAATGTTGACAAAGTTGAATATTTACACATAAAATTTTAAATTAATGTTATATTTTAATAATACAAAATGTATTAACTATAAAAATTTGAAACAGTTGAAACATTATAATATGATTTACATTAGTATTAAAATAAGGGTAGTTTATATAATATAATTATTTATATTATTTATAAATAATTTGTGTTTTTCTGTATCTGTTTCAACAGATTTTAAAATCACTTTTTCTAGACCTTCTACATAATCAATGTTTATTTTATAAACAACGAAGATGTCTTTTTTGATTTGTTTTTAAATCGATCATAAAATGTATCTAAATTTATTTAGAATTGTAATATTTATAAAATTATATAAAATTCTAGTTAGGTATACTGTATATGTATAACAGACGAGTTTTCTATTTTTAAGATAATTTACTTTTTAAATTAGTGACAATTGGATACGGTTTTGGTAAGTCGATTTTTTTTGTCTTTTTAGTTATAGTAATTTATTTGTAAATATTATTTTTATTTTTTTTCGTATAAGTCGTGGTGCTCTTGAAATGAGCTAAAAATTGATATATGGAATACAAGAAGACCTTAGAAAGATTGGGAATAATTGGCTAAGAACTAGAAGGCAATGACTAATAGAGTCTACTAAGTTGCTATAAAATATTTCTCATTAATAAAATATCATTTTTGGTATGTACCTATTAAATATTATTACATTATTAGTAAACAACACATTGTGTCTTAAAATAAGGATTAGGATTTTATAGCATTTAAAATTGTATAAATATGCACTAAAAATATGCAATAAAAACAACAAAATATTCAAAAAAAGGAAATCGTATAGTAAAAATCGATTAAAAAAAACCAACAAAATCACCAGATAACAAAAATTAAAACCAAGTATTTAATACGAAATTATCTTAATATTGTATTATATAAATTTATTTTATACCTATTTAATATTATCGCTGTAATTGTACAGCGTTACATCAGCGTAATCAGGTCTAATTACTGAATCTATATATTTACAGTTTACTTGATAACTCGATTGACAATAATCAAAAAAAATGTTTTGCTCAAATATAATTTTATAAAACATGACCGAATTTGATTCAAAAACAAGTAAAAATACAAAAAAAATTCAAAAAGTCCAAAAAAAGCACTAAAAACTAAAAAATTGCAAATGTGCAAAAAAGAAGCAAAATAACATTTTTAATTTGAGTTCTCTATATCATGAAACACATTTTTAGCTTATTCTGCTACTTTTTAAGTATTTCATAATAAGTATGCAAAAGCTATAAAATCCCAATCCTGCTTATAATATACATAAAACACGTGCAATTCTTGGATATTGTTGTATTCGTTCATGTTACGTATTGCTGATTTCTCTACATTATAAGTTATAAATATGAAATTATTTATTAATATATTATTAATAATAATATTGTATAATAATTATTGTATTATAGGTACTGTAGCGTCTGTGGTGTGTCTTTCGTTACCTATTTCAATTTAAAATATTAAAATGTATTACATTTCTTAATATAACTTATATTAAGTGTTATTTTTTACCAAGTTTTGGATGTCATTATTATTATTAAAAATAGTGTCATGCTGTTTGTAAAAAATAATGATAATAGGAATTTATTATTAAACTATCAAAGGAATCGTTTTATAATGATAATAATTTTTGTGCAATATTTTGT